CGGTAGTCATTAAAGCAGGAGGGAGATGACTTTTTTGGAACCGGAATGATTGTGGTGGCTTTAAAACATGTGGGGACGACAGCCTGGATGAGTGATATGTTGAAGATGTCTGTGAAGACATCAGTGAGTTCCACTGCACAGTCTCTCAGTACACGACCAGGAATGTTGTCAGGACCCGGAGCTTTACGTGCATTGATCCTGCTGAGGGATCTCCTCACGCATGTTAGCATGTTGCACCTCAGCCAAATGCTTTGGTAGCCATCAGCGAGCTCCTGGTATATTTCTGGTTGGATGTTTGAGCACTGTTCTTGTTACCGTGTTAGATCACATGACTGTGCCAAAGGCGTAATTGTTGATTTGATGAAAAATTCGATTCCATGCACTTTGTGAAGTGTAACGGTACAGCCTCAGGGTCGATGCTAACAGCATGCTTGACAGTTGTGTTCTTATGTGTGGAGAAGTCATCTTTTGTCATCATGGCCAACTAGCTCAACATTTGATTAGAAACTGTCTCCAGAAGCGTTCGGCGTGTTCATGTGGGCACAAATTTCAGTCAAGCTTGAAAGTGTTGGAGCAGGGACAGCCTCCCAGAGACCTTCCCAAAGTATTTACATCTACAGTTTTCCTTCATTGAGTGCTTGAACCTTCTGATTGTTCAGCGAGTTCAGTTGTAGCCAATCATGATCACTGCTGTCAAATCAAAAGAGACTTCAGCACCACTCATTCAAAGATTTAGGGCAGTGTATAATGTATAGCACATACACTGGACCCTGTGTGGATTAGAGAACAAAATCAATCCAAATTTGTCAGTCGGGTTCTTGTTTTTACAATCATTATAATAACATAGCGTCCTATTGATGCCTGTGATGATTTCTATCAACAACAGGTTGAAACAAACTAAACAAAAACCAGCTGTGCAAACAATAATAACGTTGTTGTAACCAGGCTGAGGGTTTTATGGAGCACGTGGGTATATGTGAAATGTTTAATTTAAAGAGTGTGGACTGTGTGTTTAATGAGAAGGCCGATTGTTGTGTTTTTGTGCCATTTGTCTTTTTGTCTATATTTTGTCCACATACATTTGAGAAAAATATGCTGAACTGCACACAAAAACTTTCATACAGCTTTGCATAAAACACGGACGGTGAGAGTGTCAGAAAGTAGTGGTGAAAGTTAATATTTAAACTTTTCTGCACAAACTGAAGTGTGCGTGGCCCCCTCTCACGTACAGGCGCAGACACGCACAAGAAGCGTTGCTGTGGGTATTCTTCAAAGGGCCCTGCGCTGGTTCCCTTCGTTTACTGCGTAGCTCTCGTCTACATCCACGCAAATTGCGTTCAGGTTCACTGGCGAGCCTTTTCAGCTGGTTAGCCAAACATCCATAGAAAAGAGATGAGCAGGAAAGCGAGACGAAGAAAACGCGAACAGTTTATAACAAGTTAGAAAAACAGAGACCCAAGGTCAGCGTAGAAACATCGAGAGCGGGTACGTACGTGAGCTCTGTCTGTAAACGAGCTAACCGTGTTTGTGTATGAGCACAAATTCGGCGTTAGCCAACATTGGCTATTTAGCTGGCTGCTTATCATGCTAGCCAGCGTTAGCTTCTGACAGGCAGTGCTTAGCTGCGCTAGCCGAATCCTTTAAGTATTCACTGTCGTGTGATTACCTTGGGAGTCATTTTATATGGCTTTGCTCCGTTTACTGTAGCACTGTCTGCAGTTAGCCACTTTAAATTTGTTTCAATGAAGCTGACATTGTCAAGCTGCAGTCTATGGGCCAACCACACACAAACTAATGTGGCCTAAATCTAACTTCCTGCGCTACCTAGCTTGATTGAGAGTTGACGAACAGTAGCACCATAATAATTCCCAGCTCTGGCTAGCAGCTAACGTCGTGTAATAAATGCAGGTGTTTAGTTATCAGACTACACAGTGGCTTCTCCCCGTCCTGAGACGTGCTACAGTCCGATCAGCTAACCGTTAGCAGAGCTTCTTAGGTCAGCCTAAAGCTTTCTGTCTGTAGCTGTAAAACGTTGACAGCCCGCGGAACCAGTGAACAAAGCTATGGTTTGCACTCCTTTAGCTTAGCTTTGAAGTATGTACTATTACAGAGACTCAGAAATGAGTAAGAACTGTGGAGTGTGGGTGGCGAGACGAGGCCACGGCGATGCATTTAGATATGCTGTGTTTCTCCTACAGACCTCATGAAGAAGTCATTTCTGTCTGCTAGCAGTTGGTTAAAATGAACGGAGTAATGTTTACAGCTGCACGACAGGCCTCAGTAGGTTTTAATACGAGCTAATTGATACACACATATCTGACCATCAGATGCATTTCAGATATGGTCTGCTATAAGAGCAGGGATGGTAATATACTGTCATACACTGATTGGCTCAGCAGTGTAAGGCCATGATGGCTGAGATGAGGCCAGTAGTATTGTTTTTAAATCACCTCTCGGGAAGTGCACGCAGGAAGTACTTAGTAAGCAGTGCCTCCAAACTGTGGTCAGCTGGCAGAGGAGGATGTTCTTTGTGTTTGCTCAGGCTTCACACAGGCCAGATGTAAACCCCAATACAAATGTTGGAACCAGCCTTTAAGTTTTCATTGCTCTTTATTACAAATTGAGAATGTAAATATTCTGAAACCACCATCCAAATACAAACATGTGCAGAATCACATCAAGGTCTCTTATCCTGGCGCTGTGTATGTTACTCTGGTCTCATTAACCTGTAACCTTCAGGTCGCTGGTGATACCTAACAACGTTGGAGTTCATCCTTTTGTTCAGAATCAAGTGATCAGGCTTGTTATTCTGTTTTTCATAATCCGCCCACACCTGACGTCACCCACTCAAAGATTAGGTACAAGCTGTTTCTGAGCTTTGGCAGTGTGCATTTCTGTTCATCTTATAGATTGTATTAAAGATTTGTCCTGCATACACCACACAGATGTTCACTCTCCAGAAAAGTCACAAAAACAGCTAAAAATCTGTGTCAGGTTTGTTGTAAGTGTGGTTTCAGTGCAGATAAAAGTTCAGCACTTAAGATCAGGACGCATGTGTAGATTTCAGGGCTTCATAGATATTTGTTGCATGCTTTGACTGCTTTATTCATTTTCTCAAGCTTATCCAGTTCAGAGTTGTTTGTGGAGTGGAGCCTGTCCCAGGGAGGGGCACACCTGGACAGGGTGCCCCTCCCTGGCAGGGCTGACACAGACGGCCATTTGCACTCCTCATCTTTGGGCAATGTAAAAGTTAACGTAACCCTGCTGACCGCATGTCTTTGGACTGCTCGAAGTCACATTCAAACTCCATCCAGAAAGGATCTGGTCTGTGTTGTGTAATATGCATTATGGATGCATGTTTTCCAGCATGGATGTTGGTATTCCTTCTGGAAGCCTTAATGAAGCTGTAATTTTGTGTAGTTGAGGTTATTTATTTATTTGTCATTTTTCCCTGTGAGCTGCTCAACCTGACCAAGAGCTCTGTGTGAGGCTACAGAAGCTCTGCTGTTGCAGGGGATCGTAACAGAGCGACGTTTATAACAGAGTCTAATGTGACGAGCCTTTTTGTTATGAGTCCCTCATTAGGAGAACTAAACGTGGTTAAAATAAATCAGTTCATTTTGTCAGAGCCGGTGGCAGCTGCAGGACGTGCTTCGGTAAATGTTATTCTTGTAGATCGGCACTCAGCTGTCACTTTATCAGTGTGGGTGCATGTCGTGTGTTGGGATGGATGCACGTGGAAGTCTGCACGAACAAGCGTTTGTCCCGTCGACGGGCTTCTGCTTCGTCCGTTTCTCGCTCGTCTTGATTGCAGTGCCCACACTTGTTGCTGAAATGAATCATGGGTCTGTGTGTAGTTAAGAGAAACGTTTCCAAGCGACAGCAACGGTGCGAGTCGCGTCACGTTAATCCTTGCTGCGCTCAAACTTACTGTGTCGACTGAGGCAGCAGACTCGTGTACAGTCACCAATCGGAGCGCGCCATTCTGGGAAACGCTCTTCTCTTTGCTTCCTCCCGTCCTGCACTGATACTGTGTGATGTCGGGAGCACCGAGCTTCCCTCACCTGAACAAAGTTGGCCTCGTACACATCAGTTACTACAAGGTCTCCGTTTAGGATGGCTGAAACTACGGCCTGTTGCTACTGGTTCAGTTTTATTTCAGAAACATGAAGCACACAAAGCTCATTAGCAGTTTGTCTGGTTATGCTGAGATTAGCTGGTTTTTGTCTTTGTGGTCCAAAGGGAAGTTGCAGAGTGCGCCGTGGTGCACAAACATCAACGCTCATAACATGATGATGTTTGTCCCGTGTCCTCTTTGCTTTCATGACCTTCAGCGTTATCAGCTGTAACAGCATAGAGCTGATGTCTGCTGAGCTTCAGGGTTTTATGTAAACTGTGGTTTCCCTCTAGGTCAACGTTATTGTGTTTCACTAAACTGAATGAAGATGCATTTAGATTTCTGACATCATAATAATGCTTATTAAAACTCGGCAGCCTTTACTGAAATGATTTCTCTTCCGGTCACGGATCACCCGTTGCTCTGCTTCAGCGGGATACGGCTCAGTGTTTCCTGTTAGCGGCGTCAGAGGAACTCGCTGCTGTCTCCCAGATTTCCTTCCCCTCGTTGGTCCTTCACATCATCACCGTGAAGTGAACCTCACATCAACACTGCACAAGTCTGACTGACAGTTGAGCTTTTATACCAGTGTGAGCGGGAAACGTTATTCTGACGTGCTAAACTTCACCTTTGTTGGTGTTTAGCTTGGCTTCTGACTCGTGAACCCACGTGAACCTTGGCCCATTAGATATCTACAAGTTTGACTTGAAGTCATTCTTACTTCATGCTTGGACCTCAGTAAGCAGGAAGAGAAAAAGGAGCCTGGAATAGAATAACAGGGATGTGAAGGAACGGATGGAGTGAGAGGAAAACTGCAGGAAATGAAGGAATTGAGTATCCAGGATGGGTGTTCCTATCAGAGGAGCCAAACACCAGCCGGGCCTCCTGAAGGCAGATGTGCTCTGGTTTTCTGTTGCCATCCTGTGATGTCTGTGACGCGTTTGAAACTCCAGACTCTTACTCCATGAAACGTTGTTAGATTTAAAAAGGGGCAGTCGGCTGCTCCTCTGCCTTGTAATGGCTGCAGCACAACTATCAGCTGTGGGTTTCTTTCCCGTCTCAAGCCTGAAGCTCTCACAGAGTTTCATGCTGCTTGTTATCTGAGTGGTCCTTTAATGTAATTTGAGTTCAGCGCTCTCAGATAAACCACTCTTCTAATGAGGAAACTCTGGTCCACGTGCTCTATAGTTCACACAGTGAAAATGGCGGCACTGAAATATTTGATATTCATTTTTTTCTGTTTTTTTTCTCCTTAGGTGGTTCAACACGCGGCATTGCTCTCACCCAGGGGTCAAAGCTTCACCTGTTGTGTCACAGGAACAAGCAGCCGGGTTGTCTCTGTGGGACACGTGCACTAAAGCCAGCTAGCTTACGCCTGTGCCACTAAAGTATTACCTGAGTGTCAGATGTGGAAAAACCTCCCGACTCTTCCTGTCTGCTGTCATGTCTGAACCTGAAGCTGGTATAGCTTCCACGTCCACAATAGCATGTTAGCATATGGTTAAATACGGGCCTTTAACCTCATCCTTCCCATTAGCATCTCTGGCCCCTACAAGGGGGTTTACAGTCATTCGTGGTGGTCCCCCTCACCCCTTCATCTTTTCATTTCTCATTCATTCACTCATCCACATCAGCTCCACCGTACCGTTTCTGCTGACTAAAATCAGCTACAACCAAGCTGCCTCCGCTCTGATAGGCTAACTGCTAGGCTTTTGTTTTGGTGGTTATTTTGGTTGTATGGAATCGGCTTAATCGTGGAGAGGCCAGGCTACCACAAACTGATGGACTTTGACAAGCGAGGAGTCGGGGGAGGAGGGGGCGGGGGAGGAGGTGGTGGCGGAGGAGGTGGAGGCAAGGGGGAGACAGAGGATGTGAAGAGGATGTCTGGGGTGACAGGGAGCCGACCGGGGCACGGACGGGGAGCTGGCTCCAACTCTGGCGTTCTGATGGTCGGCCCAAACTTCCGGGTTGGAAAGAAGATTGGCTGTGGGAACTTTGGAGAGCTTCGGCTTGGAAAGAACCTCTACACCAATGAATATGTGGCCATCAAACTGGTAAACATACGTTTCTGCTTGTTAACATTTTAGAACTGTAGCAACACATGTGGTTGGTTTAACAAGGATACATCATAGGATACATACGCACGGTTAAGCTGACGTGTGCCTTGAGCTCAGGGACCGCTGCACAGACGCCATCAGCTTACTGGTCACCTCCTGTTGTTGTTGATCAGTTTGACCAGGTGGGGAACTCTGTGGTTCCAAGCATGTGGAACGCCTCTCGTCCTGATGTCAATCAGTCGATTAAAACATCTGCACTCAGATTCAAATCCACGGTGTCCTGATGAGCTCATTGCTGTGAGGTTATTTCTAGTTTGTCTAAATTAACGTTATTCTCTTTTGTAGGAACCAATTAAGTCACGAGCGCCACAACTCCATCTAGAATATCGCTTCTACAAACAACTGGGAAGTTCAGGTGAGGTCTCTGTGCTTACCCCCCTCCCCATTGGACCCAGTGTCAGCTGAGACGGGCACCAGCCCACGTGCTGGATGAATGCTACGAATGAGCTGCATTACTGACTCTGGAGTTGTCTTAAATAGCTTTTTAGTGTTTAGTCCTGAGCTGTCATGCGTTCTTAGGGCTGGGCAATATGAGGAACATCTCATATCAACGTACGCGATATACAAATGTCATTTTCAGCCGCAGAATTCAGGAGACAAAATAAAACCGTTGACATTAAAAATGTGCTCCTTTGTGCTTATAACATATAAAAATTATAAGATTAAAAAATGTGACGACCTCAAATTACAGAAACCAAAGTGCAGACTGACGTAGAGCAGTCACAGGTTCAATTAAATTCAGTTTTATTTATATAGCGCCAAATCACAACAAAAGTCGCTTCAAGG